ACGAGCACGATAGATCTACAGTTATACTAAATAGAGTCATCATCCGACAATTTACACGTCCAATTTTAGATTCCGCCCGTACGTGTATTTGGTCGAGATTAGGCCTATCGTTATGAAAACGGCTGTAAGGAACCTTGAACAGGGGACAACCATCCATCTTGCGTCACAGCATCCCAATCCTGTGCCATCGGCCGGGCCGATTCGGTAGGTTACACGTAGCCATCGTTTATAGCTAATTTGTGAAGGCCGAGTTCTAGATCTGATTTAAAGGCGCGTTATAGGGTGTATGTGGGTCCTTGCTCAAATCAAGACAACGTGTTCGCAGCGCCCTCTGGAAGCAAAACCTTGCAGATGCCGGCGTTCTTGTGTTAGACGATTGTTACGGATAATTCACATGGAAACTCACTAGTTCAGCTGACAATTTCCTCCACCAAAACGCGCCTTTCTGAATTCACTACGATACGACGCATCAACGAAAAAGGGTGACGTTGGAGGGATCACGAGCCAAACTTGGGGGAAGCTCGCTGTCGTCGTCAACATGGTGATAGTTAGAGACTTCACGACATGGAGAGGTGAACTGAACTGTGGAGTGAAACTTGTCAGCGCTTCTGAAGTAGGAAAAATGACCGTCGTTTACAAATACAGTTTACTCGAACTAGACGAGCTTGGCGGTCCATATGTCATCCGTACGTTGGCTGAGAGTACTTGAACAAAGTTTCACTGAACTTTGTATTGTCACAGAGGTTCTTTCATCGGAGGGGGAGAAGGTTTCTTATTACTTACTGTAGTGCAGTGCCAGTTTGATGAGGGAACGAAAAAAGGTGAGATTCACGGAATCACGGAACGATTCCTCGTTACTCAGACCCATAACTAGAAAGGCGGAGACCCGTACGCCATTGGCGCAGCAACAAAGGCGTCAGTTTAATGGGCAGAATGTGGATGAGGTTTCTGTGGGAGGGCTCCTCTCACTCATAGGCGAGAGCAAATCACGTGTACGGTCTCAGATCTCAGGTCTGGCCAAACATTGATCAACACCAATCTGCAATCAATCTGAATTCCGATTTTGAAATCTTCAGACGTCTTCAGATTCTTACGGGAAGGTATCCATTGTCCCGACTCCCGACATTCAACCAAGCAATTCAATTCGTGGCCTGCGTCTACAGTGATTTATTCGCTTCCAATATCGCTTTTACAAAGCCTCCGCGTGCGAGTTTTACTTGAACCGAGGATTTGCAGCATTCGATCTTCAGAAGCAAGCATCCCGATATTGTCCCGACTCCCGACATTCAGCCAAACCATTCAAACAGGCGGGGAGCTCAGAATAGACAGAGCGACGCTTGTTGATCTTGATTGTCACT